TCCTCTGTCCTCCTCTCCCCTCCCCTCCTCTCTCCTCCCCTCCTCTCCTCTCCCCTCCTCTCCCCTCCTCTCCTCTCCTCTCCCCTCCTCTCCTCTCCCCTCTTCTCCTCTCCTCTCCACTCCTCTCCTTTCCTCTCCCCTCCTCTCCACTCAGTCTCCTCAGTGACTCTTGGACACACTTTAGTACAGGGATCCTCAAACTTTTTAAACAGGGGGCCAGTTCACTGTCCCTCAGACCGTTGGAGGGCTGGACTGCGGGCCGGACTGCGGGCCCCGGGACGAGTCGGCTGCTAAGCAGGACAGGCAGCAGTGGTAAAAACAGCTGGTAGGCTGGATAAGTGTCCTCGGCGGGCTGCATGTGGCCTGAGGGCTGTAGTTGAGGACACCTGCTTTAGTACGTGTCAGTGTGATCAGGGTCCGTCTCCTTTTCTTCCCTTCTGTGCAGTCGCATCGTGGACAAGATGCATGACAGTAGCAGTGGAATCCGCTCCAGCCCCAACATGGAGCAGGGAAGCACCTATAAAAAGACCTTCCTAGGTGAGCTGCTCTGTCAGGTGCCGGGCTGTGCAGTAGAGACACGGGGCATGGTGATCCAGGGCTCATCTATGCGGCTGACCAGTCTGTACTGAGGCCAGAGCTGCCTGCTGGTCAGCGGGGCTGGCCTGAGATGGCCACGTGTGAGGGCAGCCACAGCTCTGTGCAGCGTGGCCTTTAGTCAGCTCTTGGGTAGAGCCCTGAGGCTACCCAGGAGGTCAAGGCCAATGAGATCAAAGAGACCAAGCACTCTGGTCTGTAGCCTGTGGTCTGACGGGTGCTGCCCTGGGCCAGGCTCCTCCCTGGTGGACTGGCTCATCTCCAACAGCTTCGCAGCCAGCCGTCTGGAGGCGGTGACTCTGGCCTCCATGCTCATGGAAGAGAACTTCCTCAGGCCCGTGGGTGTCCGAAGCATGGGAGCCATTCGCTCTGGGGATCTGGCGGAACAGTTTCTGGATGACTCCACGGCCCTATACACTTTTGTAAGTTAGGGAGTGGGTTCCTCTTGCCACTGGGGCAGCGGGAAAGAAGAGGCAACAGAGCAGGGTAGGGCATCCATACTCCCAGGGAGAGGCCTAGGGCTTGGGGCCAGCTTCATTCAGAAGTTGAGCGGCATGAATGCAGTGAGGAATTTCCTTTCCGCTCTGCAGCCCCCATAGCCTGGATGTGGGCCTTTTCTGTAATAGTCCTTCCCACTAGGCTGAGAGCTTTAAGAAGAAGATGAGTCCCAAGGAAGAAATCAGTCTCAGCACTATGGAGCTAAGCGGCATGGTGGTCAAACAAGGCTATCTGGCCAAGCAGGTATGGCTGCGTTGGAGCAGGAGGGGAGACGGATAGTTTTCAAACTCTGGGAGGGAAGGGCTGCGACTGCTGGGGCCACCAGTTACCAGTCAAATCTGCTAAAGCAGGGGCCTGGGGGCAGCCGCCTCCCTTGATTCACTTCCTGAACCAAAAGTAATTATTTTCCACACCCAGGTTGGTAGGTTGAAGATTGGATTTTGCAGTGTGTAGTCAGTGTTTAAAACCTGAGCATGGCTGCTACACCTAAACTGGACATGAGCCATGTCTCGCTCGCTCCTGTGGCATTTTATTTACACCCAACAGAAAGGATATTCTGTGAACAAATTGCCATGTCACTTTGTGTCTGTCCACACGTCTTATGCCATGTGAATGTGTGCGCCTGTTGTCACATATCAGGATCCCCATCTGCCTGTCTGGTCTGAGGCCCCTGGGAGAGCCTGAGGAGGGTCTGGGAGGAACTGTGAGAGTGTTCCAGAAAAAAGTTTGTGAGCTAGGGCTCGAGGCCACAGAAAGTCAGTCTGGGTCTCTCTCTTTTTTTCTCTCTCATACAACACAGACACACACACAAACAGGTGCATACACATATGTTAATATCTT